CTATGCATCTGCAATTGGTAACTGAGATTTATGCATATGGTAAAAAATCATATGATGTTTTTGCTATGTTCATGTGTATTGTGTTCTTCATAATTCAAATACAGTTCATGACAAAATTTTCAATTTTTTTTGGTGGGTGTTCGCAAAGTGCGCATTCTGACAAAACTGTAGTTCTATATATTTTTGTTTGCTACCAGGACTATGTGGTCTAATGGTATCTGGGTTGGACTTCTATTTAGAAGATTATGAGTTTGAGCCTCAGTAGAGACGTTATTGGTTCTTTGTGTTTCAGTAGATTGAGAAAGTATATGAACAATACTTAAAGTTATTCCATTGTTGGTTTGTTAATTTTGCCTTGCGAATATATAGTTTTAGTTTTCTTTTGAGATTTGGTTCGCAAAAATTTTAGTTCTATCTATGAATGCATTACGTTATTGTAGATGGTTGTTATGTTAGATATACAATAGTCTAACTAGAGAAACCTGACCTCGTATGATAGCGGAAGCGTAGCCATGTAGATCTCCAGCCATAGTTGATGTTCCTGTTGTGTTGCCTCTTAACGATAGACCGTCAGCCATGTTTTGTCTCAGACCTGACTCAGAACCCTAGATGGTGTATCGGTATCTACTGAGCGGTTTGAGTATCGTAACTGAATGTGCTATCTAATCCATAATCCTGTATCCCATCAATCCAGGTTATATTAGGCACAGAGTTTGGTTGACTAACAACTACTAGTTATTAAGTCCAACCAGACCACTTAATAAGCCTAGTCAACTTGCACCACTTAATTAATGCCCTAATATATAATATATAATATATATTATTAGGGAAAATCTTACATTCTCCCACTTGGTGCAAGTACTAGCACAACCTTCATCAAAGAACAAAACACACGAATCATAATGATATGTCCTCTATTTAATCAGAGTAGTATCAATTATGGTCACATGCATTTTAATTCTCCAACTTAGGTCCTTAATGAACAAACCCTATGTTTATTCTTGGTACCTTAAAGGGATGTTTCTCAAAATACATTATGTGCACAACTGAATAAGAAAACGCATCCAAATTGTACAAAAAAGTACACTGTATGATCTCTAAAACTTTATAAGCATGCCTTAAGTAGAGATCTCTTAATGTTAGCATAATGCTAACTGTATTCCATGACTTCTTTATAAGTTAACTTTAAGTACTATCTCTAACAGCTAAGAGCTTGGAGTTGACACGTCTGTCACTCCCACTCATCAAAAATAGCCAAAAGATCGTCAAGTCACAGAAGCATTCGAATAACTTAGACAATAAACCAAAGGTCTAAGTCCATAAATTTGGAATCTTAATCATAGACCATAACTTCCCAAATAACTTCAATGTCCATTTTAAATGAACTGAACATAATGAGTCTTACTTTTATGTCCCACAAAATTGTTTTGAGCCTTACAACCGAATGACCCATGATCAATTTTGAAGAAACTAAAGACTCTATTAATCACTGGAGAATTTATTAAATGACAGTGCACCACAAGTTAAATGCTTTTGTTCTAATAAATTCCTTAATATTGTTGCAACATTTTCATAAATATGTTGCACAACCAAATGTTCAATAATTTGAACTTATGAATTTATATGAACAAATACAAGATTAATACTTGTGGAATATTTTGGACTTATTGTTTGACATACAATCAAATTTAGGATGTATGAAGCCAATTAAATCAATAAACTCTAGTGGAGCATCTTAATGATCTTTTTCTAAATGATCACTCCCACTGATTAAAATATTCTTCAGCGAAATTAATAAAGTGAACTTAATAATATACATACTCATAATTGATTTATTGACCAACTAACAAATGAAGACATAATTACCCACCATTAGTTGGACATACTAAATAATCAATTTTTGGTTCCAATTAAAATCCAACTAAATAATGAAGATATATTTCTCCACCATAGTTGGACATACTAAAAGAAACAAAATACATCTTTCAAAACCAAAATAGAATTTGGCTCAAAAGATACATTTTATCATTATTAGAATCCAAGAGGTATGTCAAATCACGTAACTTACTACAGTTAGTCCGTAGAACCGAGCAAAATTCGTGGATTAATTAATAGAAGTGACTAAATTTTGGGAAGTGACTAAAGGCTCTTAACGGTAGACCGTCAGCCATGTTTTGTCTCAGACCTGACTCAGAACCCTAGATGGTGTATCGGTATCTACTGAGCGGTCTGAGTACCGTAACTGAATGTGCTATCTAATCCATAATCCTGTATCCCATCAATCCAGGTTATATTAGGCACAGAGTTTGGTTGACAAACAACTACTAGTTATTAAGTTCAACCAAACCACTTAATAAGCCTAGTCAACTTGCATCACTTAATTAAGGCCTTAATATATAATATATAATATATATTATTAGGGAAAATCTTACATGTTATAGGAATTTTATTATGCATATATCCATGTCTAAATCTATTGTTTGATTGCTACTATGTTATTTTGGTGGTGACATGGGCTCTCTATGAAGTTTGTTATACAAATGTTTATTAATTGAGTTACATTTCACATTTAGTTATACTATGGGTGCCTCTGTATTTGGTAATGGAGACAATGTGTGTAGTTTTTTTTTTGAAATTTTCATGCTGCTTTTATTAGAAATATGCTGCAATAATGTCAGATGGGGGGATAGATCCCAATACATAATAGTAGGCTGCTGGAACGCAGCGGATGTTAGTGCATGAGCTAAATAATTATCTGGTCTAGGTATGAAACTAAAATAACAAAAATCAAACGAAGCTGCATTAGACTTGCAGCTATCAGAGCATAACCAACATACGAACGAACTGTAGACGGGGTGAGACGAGATATCGTTGCAATGATAAGCAATATGTGTAAAGATGTACTGATGTTTCACCTCGGTCTTTAAGCCATGATAACGCTTCTTTGCACACAAATGCCTCTGCCATGAGTGGTGAGAAGCAAACTGGAAGAGGGGCACTGAATGCTGCCACATATCCACCATTTTCATCGAGTAAAACCGTCCCTACTGTTGCCGCACCCGAGTCGTGAAGGTAGCCGGCATCCACGCGGCATGTCTTGGGTTGCACTGTCGCCGTGTTGGGGGGTACGGCGGGCGTGAGACCATGCGGCAGTGGCAGTCCTCCAATGGGCTCCTGTTGTTGTGGCTGTGTCACAGGTGCGGACGGCAGCCGTGCGTTGCGCCATGCTTCCACAGTTGCCGTGGCCCTGGCTAGCAGTTTCGTGGGTCGTGGCATAGCGGCATCCCATACTACTCCATTCCGTGCTCTCCAAATATGATATAAGATTGCTGTTGCATATAACATTCCATTAGAGTCTAGAATATTTAGGAGATCAGAGAACCAAGTATGAAAAACATTCGTCGTAATATTGGGATTGGAAGGCTACTAGATCGTTCCCAAATGGCTTTCGCAAAATCACATAACACCAAAGCATGCATAGTATCCTCTTGAACAATTCCACACATGGCACAATTTGGGTCCACATCCACTCTCTTTATAATCAAATTTGTAGTGGTTGGGAGGAATCACTAATTGCCCTCCATAGAAAAGTTTTCCATTTGGGTGGGATTTTGAGACAATGTGTGTAGTTAAGTGCTTTTTTGTTTGTTGTATAATATGGAGTATTATTTAAGAATGCTTTATTAATAGTCCCTTGTAATGCTTTGTTATTGTGGCACATACTAAAGTACTTGTATACTTGTTTTAAGCTGTTTGATGTTGTTGAGTTAATATTTCATCAAGAAATATCTTTGCACAAAAAAAAAAAAAAAAAAAAAACAAACAAAAAAACAAAAAAACAAAAAAAAAAAACAAAACAAAACAAAACAAAACAAAACAAAAAATGATGGCGTATATAGATGGTGAGGTAGAAATAATGCATATCGACGAGATAGAATTTCTATCTCTTCACCTAATGAAATATATTCAAAAATATAGATATGAACAAGTAGTTGCACTTTATTTTAAGAGAGCGGACCATTCTTTGAAAATGTTTATCTGTTATATGATGATTACACTGATTTTGCCCGTAAATGTAGTAAGGTAGAAGTGTATGTTGACCATGGGATTCAAGAAGCATAATTGGTTCCTTATTTTTTATTTACCTGCTTCTGCACCTGACTGTGAAGATGGTGTAATAACTTAAGCAGCAAAAGATGTGTCAACTGCATCTTAGATTCCATATGGTGTTCATATTTCATAGTTCAAAAATAATAATGAAAGTGAGGCAGTTGTTGGACTTGAAGATAATCTTGGGACTAAAAATACTGATAATGATAGTCTAAAAGAGGCAATTGGTGTGACTGGGAGCTACGACCTAGGAGCACTAGCGGGCCTATGCCAAATTTTGCCGCAGATTATTGTGCACCCCGATCATGCACCACGCATCAAAACGACATTATTTTGTTTAATGAAAAGAAATAAAATTTTCGTAAAAAATAACTCTATATTCTTCAGTTTCATTTTGTATACACTGCAGTTTCAGTTCATCACAACTACAGTTTCATTTCAATATAACTACAGTTTCATTCAATATTTATACACTCAAATATTTGAAAATGTTATTTAATTTTATTTTATATACACTATAATTTCATTAAAACACAATTACATGATCATTTCAATATAATTACAGCTTCATTGTACACACTCAAATATGTGAAATGCTATTCAGTTTCATTTTATATATACTATAGTTTCATTTCACTACAACTACAGTATCATTTTGATATAACTGCAGTTTCATTTGATTATATAAAAATAATACGTGAAACAGTATCGGTTTAGACACATTGTAATGTCACTCCGTTATAACTGCAGAAACAGTGCCGTTTTGACGCGCGGTGCATAATCGATTATGCACCGCGGTGCACAATATAACGACTGAAATTTTGCAACACTGCTTATGCATCATCCATTGAATGTTAGAAGAAATTTCATCACTCCAACATAGTTACGTATAAATTCGTCAGAATTAAATCTGCAATTCATCACATTTAATTCAAATATGGTGGACTGCACATTTAAAATCTCATCTCAATATACGAATCGACTTCGCAATGGCAGGAAGAGAATACAAAGAACGTTGGGAACTACAAAACTGGAAGAAGAAAAAAACCCTACTTGCCGCCGGGTAAAGTATTAGTAGAGAACATAAAAAGTTTGCAAGAGAAATGCTACTGATGTGAAAACCTTTCCTTTCACAGGGCTAGAATGGAATAAGAAGAGATAAGGGTGTGTATTTGCATGTGTATGACTCTACAAACTCCGATAATCTATCACAGTGACTTCATCCTCAGGTGCGTCAAGATCTTGGTAGCTGTAAAAATTATCAAACTACAGGTTAATGCCCCTACTGCATCGCATCAACACCAAGAAATAATAAAAAATAACTACAGGTATAGTCTATGTTAGGAATCACAGAATAGAGTGCTTAGCTCCTCCATTTCACAGTTTTTACTGCCACCAATAAAAACTTTTTGTTTTAAAAGTGAATCCAACAAACTGGAAAAATAGAATAATTGGACCATATTTCTATGCTCAAATAGCAGATAGCTGATAACAATACAATCACGAGAAATGAAAATTTTCCCAAGTGTTCAGCTAAGCAAATAAACATTAGATTACTTCAAGCCAAAACTGAAGAAACTTTATTAATAATACAATGCCAGATGAAGCATTTTGGCGGCAACCATAGCATTACAATCATAAGAAAAACCCTTTAAATTCCAGGCCCCAACAACAACTCTTCTATACCAATTTATTAAGATGATTGTGGAAAACACAACATGAATAAGCAGTGTTCAATTCGTAGACCTTAGTTGAAATGATAACAAATTCTAGTCATGAAATCATGTTACTCTGTGCATTCAACTTAGTTTTTGCATTGATGCAATTATAAGTAAATCTTGCCTATGCAGTATGACCAGGAAATAGTATTTCAAACTTAAATTGCCTATAAATGCAATCAACATAAAAATGCATACAAAAAGACACAAGTGAAGGTTACCTTCGTATGCGCCTAGGATCCTGCCGAAGTGAAGGAGGTAAAGCAATGATGGGGGCTTGTCCACCTATTTGTGGGCCTTGCCTCCCATTTCTCCCACCTTCAAATGGAGCAGGGCCACCTTGCTCTCGTAACATCTGCATTGCAACTTCAGGAGGTGCAGGAACAAAAGGACCCAATGGACTATAAAGGCATAAAAAGAAATAAGTTATAGCGTCCAAATATCAAAGGAGTCAAATTATCCAAGACTACCCAAGAAAAATCTAAATTACCCAGCCCCAGGAACAGGCATCAACACAGGGGGAGGAGTTATATCTGAAGGGAAAGCAGCAACTGGAATCCCATGTCCGCCAAATGAATCAAACATTTGCTCATCAGGGTTTCTTCCCCCATCATCGTTGGACTGGATATCCGATGACAGCGGGTTCTCAGGCCTATCAAATCTTTCAACTCCATTTACACGGCCATTGCGTTCTCTTCTGTTGCCTCTATCATCCTTCAGTCGGCTCTCTAGACTAGGCCTGCGCCTCTGCAACTTCTCTTTCTGCATCATTCAGACACTTCAATAGATACACCATAATGAGGAATAATGAAAAACAAAGGAAAGAGATGATTCCTGTTTCAGTGCACCCCCCCCCCCCCCCCCCCTCTCTATGCATTATTACTGTGATAGTTACTCTTCCTCCTAGCTTGATTTACTGAATATACTAACTCATCACCAATAAACAGCATCACTATCTTTAGCATAATAAAGAATTATTTTATCAAAGGCACTAAAGGGGTGCACAGAAACATAAATATGGAGGAATTATATGAGGTGGGGCACTGTCTTATCTCCAATACTCCACATTTTTTTAATAGGTATATTCTACAATCTACAATTTTGTAGTAGGTAAGGAGGGGAGAAAGAAAGCAGGGAACACAAGTGTCTATCAATGCAGTGCCCAAAACACCATGTTAAACACATTTAAATGCAGTGCCTAAAAATGTCATCTCCTACACACCACACATGCAGCCTATATTAAAAGGTTAGTGCGATGCCCAAAACATAAAAGCATAATCAAGGGGCAAACAGCCTAAAAGCTGTAATACAAGCGTACCGGCAGAGATGACAGCATAACAGGCGTCCCACCAGGTGCACTTTCGTCACTGACATAATTGTGACACAGTAAGCATCATGATGAAATTTATGAGAAAATCAAGACAGTGTTTACACAAATTGCACTTACCTCATGTAATTCTGGAAGTATAAATCCTCGCGCACTTTAGAAGTCAGCTCCAACACCAATTCTGGGTGCTTCAACTTTAAGTGTTTATGAACAAACTCAGCGGCATGAAAGAGTTTTGTACAACCCTTGGCTCCACAACCATACTTCCACCCATACTTCTCATCCCTAATTTTGCGGACATAAGGTTCTAAAGCTTCAACTGCAGCGGTATCAATTTTCTCCTTAGCAGTCATGACCTCCAGAGGATCTTGTCCTTTCAGCCTCTCTTCCCAACGTGAATCTAGTTTTCTTTCCCAATCAGCCCCATTACTACTTGTCTCAGTATTCTTGCCATCAAATCTCATATGTCTGAGGCCCTTGGCTTCATTTGTTTCAATCATACCATAATAATCCACTCCATGAATGCGCCAGAGATAGGTTAGAAGAGTTTCCAAAAGCTCAGCTCCCTCAAGACCTTTAACTGAAGTTAATCCCCTTACTATAACAACAACTGGGCCAGAGGAACTGCTATTAGACTTGTCCCTGCTCCCTCTATCATTATCAGACCGAGATAATATGTTTTCTTCGATTCCCTTTTCTGAATCAAGCTTTGCCACAAGTGTCTGAGACTGTTCAACATCAATGCAAATTCGTCTTGGCTCAGAACTGACTGGGTGAGCCTTTGGAGCATCTGAAAGTAACCTCGCATCTTTGGATGGCCCCCTATCATGCCGTCTTCTTTTGTCACCAGCATCTGCTTCATCATCAGAATTGGGCTCACTAGACTGTCCTGTGTTGTTTGAGGGAGTAGGGGTAACACCAGGACCTCTATTTTGCATACAGAAAATTAACTTTAATGTTCAGTAACAAACAGAGTCCTTAGTAGGCATCATACTACAGATTTCGTTGAAGACAAGAAAACATATCTTACAAATCTAATGTTCCACTTTGAAGATCAAGGAGGAAATCTTTTGCCATTTTCCGTGCACGCTCATTTCTCCTAAAAAGACCACAAAGAGGAAGATAGGGACACAACAAAACAAAAACAATTTTGTAAAACAAGCTACTAATAAAGCAGCCAGACACATACAAAAGGCTTATGCTTTGAATCAATTTCCATTAACAACAAAAACAAAATAGAGCTCACCTTTCTATAACAGAGACTAAATTTGTAGGGTGATATTTGTCTTTTAACCTGTGCAGGCAAACCATCATGAAAAGCAGCAAGAACAGACAGGGAGGAAATGATAAGTTGAATTTGAAAAATACCATTCTTCATCTTTGTGTGCATCAAAATATGCTCTTTTCTGGGCCTCTATATATCCAGACTTATACTCTTGATACCTGCATTATAAACAGAATATGATTGTGCCATTGTTTTAGGTAAGGGAAATCCAGTAAAGATGAATCAGAACATCTACAAAAACACAACACTCCCATTCTTACCTTCGCTCAGCTTCAGCTGGCAAGATATCATCTTCAAGCTCCTGAATGAACTGCTTATAGGACTTCAATCCTTCTCTGCAAAATGATACAACACATGGATAAAATTATAAAATAAAAAAAAAATAAAAAAAAAATAAAAAAAAAAAAAAAACCATAACAGTTCAAATGTGTTATTCTTTAAAGAACAGGCAAGATTGCAAGAATTTATAATCATCTAGTAACAAACTTCCCTGATTACATTTTCTGTAATTGTCAGAGGCATACCACCTAAATTTTAATGATCTTCCTCTAAAGAGACATGGAGAAGTGGTCGTCTATAGTAAATAATTAAACCCCCAAGTCAAAGCTCACCAGCACAAACAGAATTTAGCTGAAAGAACCCAGTAACTACCTGTAACCCAGAATAATTCAAAAGAAACTAAGTCAGCTAATAAATAAGCATTTTGCACACTTGAAAGAAGAAAGTATATGCACATCTGAGGATAAATAATACTGTAAAAACTAGCATTTGTAATGCATACAGGAAGGGGCTTTTTCCTTGAAATACACTAAATAGGTTAAACAAATGTAGATGTGTTTTCCTAGGGCAATATGCTATTCAAAGAAGTGAAATGATCAAAGAATGATAAATCAGGGAAAAATGTTCTAAGATTCATTGGTCTTGCACATAAACAAATAAAAACAAAAATAATTTTGATACCTTTGAGAGCCTCGTGTTACAAAAGTATCACCAAATCCACTTCGACTAGAATCCCAGTCTAGAACAAAAAGACACAAAGGTCAAGCTAAATTGAAAGCAAGATAATAATGCCATCACCATTTAAATTTAGTATGTTCACAATGCTGATCCATATCATCACTAATCAAAAAGACAATATGAAAGTAGAAGCTAAACTAAAAATTAAATTAAATTATACTATAATACAAGTTTGTAAAAGGGAAAAGAGTTTAGCATGCCTCCACGCATAGCATTGAGAACATAAAAAGAAAAAATATATATATTCAAATAAATACTACAGACATCAGAATTGGAAGAAACAGCAGAGCAAAGACAGGGCCCATTATTTTTTGCATAATTCACCCATAATAAACAAATTCATAACATTTTTTTAAACAATGTTGGGATCTGTGTTTTAACATGAGGATAAATTATCTTGGGGTATGCAAGGGAATCACTACAATAAATCAATCAATCAATGCTGCTCCTTATATGATAAATTGATAATGAATGAATTATGTAAATCTAAGAACAGATTTTATTGGATATGTTTTTGTAGTATATTTCCTAGTAACTTGAACACAAACAAATATATAATGAAAAGTAAAATACTCCTCCCATTTGAACTTTTGAGCAGAAGTGAACCCCTTGGAATATTGTGTAATGTAGCAATTAAAAGTGGAAACATTTTCCATTCCAAAGTTGTAAACATCATTTTGGGAAATCCTAAATAAAACACAAGTCCATGAGGTGCAATATGAATTGTATAATAAAACTACCTTGGAACCCACCAGATGAACGCCCAATGTATCGACCATGAGGCCTCTCATCTGGATATCCAGGCCTCCCCCCCATGTCTCTCTCATGACCAATTGGATAGTCATACCCACCACCAAATCTGGAAAATCAACAAGTTACATACATGTATTAAAGCATGGATGGTTGACTGCAAGGCTGCACGTACCAAGTGAAGAGCAAAACATGAAATGTGACATTGTGACAAAAATTGGATTATCCCAGCCATGCACTTGGAGACCGGAAGAACAGGCAAGGTATCCTCAATGGCCACAGACAAAAGTACAGAATAAATTTTCTGGAAGACAATAGAATTAGAAGTGAATAAGAACAATGTTCTGTCAAAACTAATCTCCTTTTTGCACACTTCAATAATTGTCTTAATCTGAGATAACACATCACCCTACAGGCTGTTCTAATGGTACAGACGCTATACACACTGCCACTAAGAGGTCAGGCAGCTTCATGAAACATCATCTGAAAAGCTAGTTAGAAGTGAGAAAGCAAATACCAATCCTGTAAGAAGTTGCAGTTTGCTGGCTGTGAAGGGCATTTAATCCAAATAAAGACATTGTTATATAAGTTACTCAGTATGTAAGGGGAAGAGCATCCTTCAGTCTGCTATGTTGGAGATTAAATTTGTTGCCTAGATTCAGGAAGGGCACGAGGAAATGTAAAGTATTTTAGCTTCCAAAGAAATCAGTTATGCAGGTCCTGCTTCTTTATCCATCTTCTTTCTTAGTTTAGCTGGGTATAATATAAGTGTAGCTGCTCCTGATGCAACTATCTAAGAAGTGCTAGCAATAAAGAGCAGACCAACTGACATAATTCATGACTACCTAATTCTACCGACCTTCTCTCTAGAGTTCACTCCTTAGTTCTGCTTTCTACTTCCATTTCTCTTGGTGTATCTGGTTCGCCAGTTCGTCTTGGTAGTTCATAGCATATATTAGACAAATATAGAGAGAAACATAGAACAGTACAGACCTCCGTTCACCAGGTCCATAGCCACCTCTAGGACTTCCACGGCGGCCATCATACTCATCCCTCCGAGAGCGCTTGTATGGCGGATGTGGCGGCGAGCGTCGGCGATCACGGTAGGGAGGGAGAGGAGGGCTGGAGCTGAGGCGGTTCCGCTTGTGGTCACGCTCCCGAAGGGGCGGGGGTGGTGGGGACCGGTTGCGATCGGAGTAGTCCCCCCGGCCACCTCGTCTATCAAAGTCTCGGTCATCCCTCCGCTCCCTAGAGTCCCGGTCCCGGCCTCGCCGTGACTGAGGAGGAGGTGGTGGTGGTGGTGGAGAAGGCTCGACATCGTCGGCGGACTTGTCGGGATTGTCGTTACTTTGTTCAGGACGGCGATCCAGGCCGTCGACGGGGACGTCCATTACCTCAGCCATCAATTGCTATGCCGAGATTTGGAGAAGATAAACCCTAGCTCAGTATCAATCTATCTGTATCTATGCTAAAATTAAAATGGGAAGTGCAACTGCAGGATGGCGCGACTTGAATAATATTTGGGGTTTTGAGGACACACAAGTATGAACAAATACTTCTTATAATTTAACTAGTTGGACGGTGCACTCTTATAGTCCGTTTGAAAAGCATGAAAATGACTTCTGAAAAATATTTTCTTGGAAAATGAGTTACTTTTTAGAAAATATTTTTCTTTACGGTGATTGGCTGCACAACGAAAAACTATCTTTGTATGTTTGGCAATGTTGCAAAAAACGTTAGGCGCCAAGAGGGCGCTGATTTTTTTTTTAATTAAAAATTAAAAATTTTAAAATTTAGTAATAAAACATAAGATTTCCACAGTTATTTCTTACAAACTATTTACTTAAGTGGTTGTAAAAATGTTAAAAAGATTGTTTAAACCATCTAAATACATAAAAAATTAAAATTTAGAGCAAAATAAGCATTTTTTTGAGAAATTAGTGAACCAAATCACCTTTGGCTATTTGCGGTTGATAGATCTCGAAAAAATACGCGATTTGAAAAAAAATTGTCCAAAACAGACAACCGAGTAAAAAGTTATGCCTTCCCGAACTTTTCCCACTTTACAACGTAAAAAAATAAATAAATAAATAAATAAATAAATAATAATAATAATAATAATAATAATAATAAATATTAAATTAAATTCAACGCCGGTTCAGTGGGCTAGGCGGTCTAAGCGGCCGCGGAGGAGGCTGATTCCGGCCTTCCTTGCAACGGCGGCCGGTGCCTAGGCGCGATTTTTGCAACCATGATGTTTAGTTGATTTTTCAGAAAATGAATAGGAAAACGACCAGAATTGTATGATTCAATTATTTTTATTTCTTCCATCATTTTTTACTTTTTATATTATTTGATAAGTTCTTATTTTATTTATTTTATGCTCTAATTGTTCTCTTCCCTAAAATTTTGCTCTGTTGTTTTCTTTTTGACTTGCAATTCAGAAAAAATAGAGTAATTCAGTCTAAACAAATAAGCACATGAACCCAAAACAACCACCTCCATTTCTACACAAATAAGATAAATTGATTTCACAAATAAAAAATAAAAATAAAAAATACTGAAGGATAAAAATAAAAATTTTTGAAAAAAACACAAACATCTTTCTATTTCATTACTAGTTTCCGTCCACAGTCGAAAACCAGATCTCTGGTTTCCGCATCGGAAATCAATGATGAGGAAGTCTCCGGTGGAGGGTGGAGATTTTCCGGTTATGGACCGGTGGAGGGTAGAGATTTTTCGGTGATGGATTTGTTTGTGGAGTCTGTTTTTGTGCTGATGGAGGCGTGGAGATTGCAGGTTTTTATATTTTGTCTTTTAATTAAACCGGCATGATGCCAATGGAGGTTAGCCTTAGTATGATATGGGCTTAAAGGTGGCTCCTATAATTAGGGCAGGATCAGAATACCGCGACAAATTTGACTATGGTCCATGAAGTAAGTATCATTTTAATTACATTTCAGTTTCATTTGACAATATTGCTTTGTTTTTGTTTCATTTTCCATATACACTAGTTTTGTTATAATAATATCAAAGTGTCATTTTAATTCAACTACAGTTTCATTTGACAATATACATTATTGCATGAGCTCTATTTTGTAGTTTCAATTTTCATACACACTAGTTTAATTATAATAATATTAAAGTACTATTTTAATTACACGTTTAGGTTCATTTGACAATCATATATTATTGTATGACTTTGAATTTTAGTTTCATTTTTCGTACACACTAGTTCCATTATAACAAAACTAAAGTATCATTTTAATTATACTACAATTTCATTTGACAATATACGTTGTTGAATGAGCTCTGTTTTTTAGTTTCATTTTCCATGCACTCTATTTTCATTATAACAACACTTTAATATCATTTTAATTTTACTACACTTTCATTTGACGATCATGATCCACCTAACACTATAAGCCAAGGTCGACTATATAACAACTGGGATAGCTCATGGCCTTACCCAAAAAATAAATAAATAAATAAAATACTTCCTATAATTTTTTTTGAAGGGTACTACCTATATTTACTTTGCCTCTAATTGTTTGAACATACTCGAAATGGCCCGTATAAACAATAAAATTTTACTTTCACCCCCTCTTATTTTGAAAACATTAAAAAAAAAGTAAACAATCAAATAAGCCCTTAAACTTTACTGAAAAGTGCAATTAGACTCCTGAATTTTTTATTATTTTTTTTAAAAAGTGCAATTAAACACTTAAACTTGTCAATTAAGTCTGATGTACCAGTAACCAATACGTTATCAGTAAAATTATGACCGTTGACCGCTATTTACAGTCGAAAAAAAATTAATTGCCAGTAACATTCTTTGTTTTTTTTTGGTGGGGAAGGCAACCGGCAGTCTAATCATCATCGTTTAGCCGTCTTCTCAATTGGAGAAGACTACCGTGTGGTCACGATAGCCAGATTTATTATTTTTAAAAAAAATTCAAAGATTCGCCGTAATGTTTTTATCGTTGGAATTATCATTGGAATGGTCGCTGGAATCTTAATGACCGATTATTTCATGTGAATTATCGGTTATTGGATTTAGATGCACTAAATGTACCATACATTTCATAAAAATAAAAAAATAAAAAAAATTTCACGTACATTTACTTACATAATTATGTTGGGATTATTATCCGTCTTATTAAAGCCCGATAATCCAATACGGCCCAAAATGCCTACATGGTCCGAACCACCAACCGCAGGCCCAATGCCCTAAACAACCCTATTCCATCTCGTGACGATATATAACAGAAGCCGCGCTTTGTGTTATGGTTGCCTTGCTGCCGTCGTCGACGTTTTCCTCCTCCTGCTATTACAGCTTCGAATCAGGTCGTCGTTAACCATGGTTGCAGCCAAGAAGACCGTAAGTACATTTCTGTTTCTCACACGAAATAATGTATATACGTGCATTGATATCTCCTTCGATGTGTGTACATCTTCGAAACGTAGCTCATGCCAGTTGTGGTGTTTCCTCTAATGATTTGCAGAAGAAGACTCATGAGAGTATTAACAATAGGCTAGCTCTGGTCATGAAGAGCGGCAAGTACACACTGGGATACAAGACCGTTCTCAAGTCCCTCAGAAGTTCCAAAGGTATTCGATTTTTTATTTTTATTTTTATAATGAATATTGTTTCCTCCATTCATGTAATTTGAGAGATTGATTGTTTGGTTGACGATGAGAGAAAAATAGTTGAGCAGAAGCTATGAATTTGAAGCATAGTTGCCTCGGGTTGACTGTGAGATTGGATGTAGAAATGGGCAATAGTGATATTTAATTTGTTTGTGTGCCAATTTGGAAGCTTAGAATAGCTTAGTTTTCAGTGGAGCTATGGAGATATTATGTTTAGAATTTAGATTTTACCAGCAATTCAACCTTAGTGGCATATTTTAGCAGTGATGTGTAGCTGAGATTTGAAGGAAGAATATGAGTTGGATGTTGATTTATTAGGGTTACTAATTTGGGAAAACGTACATGATACATTGCCTGATGGACAGAAGATTTATGTTTTTTAATGATCACTAAAAACCGTTTATGCTATTTTGAATGAGAATTGTACTTCTTTCATCTTACAGTGTACCTGAAAGGATTTAGTGGAGTTGGGGTCATTTTGATTATACAATGGATGTGTAGAATCAATGTAATTACTTTGAATGAGTGGCTGATCTAATTATTTTGTTTTTGTTTCACTTTCTTTCTTAGGGAAATTGATTATCATTTCCAACAACTGCCCTCCCCTCAGGAAGTCTGAGATAGAGTACTATGCTATGTTGGCAAAGGTTGGAGTTCACCACTACAATGGAAGTGAGTGCAGTTTTGGCCTCCTAATATCTTCATTTTACATGTTCCTATAATTCGTTTTCCAGTAAATGAGCATTGATATTTAGTTTATGTTTATTGTATATTTGATTGTTTTTTTTTAACTGTTTCTTTGCTTTTATGGCTTGCCATTTTTATAAGCCTGATTCTAACTGACTATATTGGGGAATTATACCAAACCCCATTAGTTTATTTTTAGGTTTATGTTATTGTGTTTCCAATGTTTCATACTCCAAGCTCTGTATTCTATCTTCATTTAGTAATGGTTATAGAGGCTCTTATTGGCATACATAGCGTATGAGCTATCAAAGCGTAAAAACTAGTAGTTATTGCTTATTTTGAAACTCTACCCAGGGTAGCCTTTCAAAATAAGCCATTATTAAGTTGTTTTACCAAACAAAGTTATAACTTATTTTTAGCCTAAAATAAGTTATAAGCTCTACCAAACATGGGTCAAAATTAGGACCACTCAGTTGTACATTCTACATTTAGGCAATGATAAGCACATGAATTTCAATGTATATAGTCATCGTTCGTGCTGTGTCTGTTTTAATGGCTGGCCCTTGGGGCAGAGGGATAGTTATCTCCTCCCGCTCTCTGCATACTTAAATATTTGTTTCCGTTTCAGACAACGTGGATTTGGGGACTGCATGTGGTAAATATTTCAGAGTGTGCTGCCTCAGCATTATTGACCCGGGTAGGCATTGCTATTAGCCCATTAGTTACTTGCTCGAGGTAACTTGTACTTGAATTACGTTTTCCTATTGCTGATAGTTTCACTCTTTTTTTGTGCCCGCAGGTGATTCGGATATTATTAAGAGCATGGCCAACGACCAGTAGATAGCAATAGATGTCTGATGGTTGGTTGCAGTGGTTATTTTGAATTTCACCGGAAAACAGTGTTATTTTACTTATTTTTAATTTATTAATGGGTCACAGAAGAAGAGCTCCATTGTAGATGATGAGATGAGAATCTACATTGTTGTTTCTTAGACAGTTTTGGTTGCGTTGAACGTTAAAATGACATTGCTGGATGCCTGAATGAATTTTGAAACAGTTGTATTCATCTTTCTGACTCAATGTGGTAATATTGCTCATTCTTAAAATCACTGTTCTAGAACATCGTCATCTAAATATTTTACTGCAAACGGATTGAAATTTTAAATTTTTAAACATCATTATTCTTTCTATCAATATAAATTTATTATTGAGAAAATTTTGTTTTTTGGTCATTTGACTATTGTATTTGAATAACATTTGATCCTTAGACTGCAAACATTTTTAAATTAGATGTTTGATTATGTATTTTTTGTAACGTAAGAAAAATGGTCTGATACCTTTTTAATTATACCAGATGATATTTAGCCTTAACATTTCGGCGATAATTGGTCGGAAAATTGTTCAGTAGGATTAAATGTAAAAAAACTACATAGTCATGTATATAATTAGAAAATGTAAAATTTTATCTTAATTATTTCAAATTTAAGTTTATTTTAATTTATATTAATATTAATTTTTAAAATACAAAAAAAAAATTATGTTTAAGATTACATAGAAAACTAATATATTTGTCAACTATTATGTAGTGTAATGACATTCCAGTTATAAATTGGAATATATGTGAAACTAATATACTTTTACAATTACTAAGTTCAACTTATTTTACCTTTTTTTTTTTGGAAAAATGATCAAATAGGCCCTCAAACTATTACTCAAAAGTCAATTAGGCCCTCCAACTTTTTTAAGAAGCGTTACACCCATGAACAATGTATTTTGATGCAATCAAGTCCAAATACAGGTAAATGACCTGCTATCCTAGGTCATTACAAATCCGGCGACACTCCGATAAATTTTTAGACAAAAAAAAAGTAACCGACGACTGGCGAACGGTCGCCGATCATGAAGACCCCTCCCGAAGAAGGGCAACCCAAATATGGGTTGCCTTCTCAGCCGGAGAAGGCAACCCAGATTTAGGTTGCCCTTCTCCGGCGAGAAGGCCACCATAGTGGTAGCCTTCTCAACCGGAGAAGGCAACCCAAATCTGGGTTGCCTTCTACGGGAGGGATCTCTGTGGGACAGGCGTCCGTTCGCCGGTCACTTTTTTGCCTGAATATCTATCGAAATGTCGTCGGATTTGTCATGACCTAGGATAACAGGTCATTTATCTGTATTTAGGTGTAATTGCTTCTTAAAAAAGTTGAAAGATCTAATTGACTTTTGAGCAATAATTTGAGGGCTTATTTGACGATTTTCCCCAAAAAAAAAAAAAAAAAAAAAAAAAAAAAGATTGTTGCAACAAGCGGTGTCCAATGGAAAACAAACTGCCGTATAAAAAAAGGAAATAAAGGAAAAAAGGAAGTGCTTTTGCCTTAACTGATAAAAAACGTAGAACACGTTCCAACATCAGAGGGCAAATCCAAGTAGCCATTACCCAATACCCATCCACAGTGACGTATGTTTCTTCTTCTTTCTATTGTCTCTGAGACTCTGACCGCTGTTCTTCCGCTTCACTCTGATTGAATCCCCTCCCTATCTATCTATCTGTAATCAATCGGTTTCTTGTATTTGTTTTAGCTAAGCAATGGAAGAAATTCCCTCCACATCCAACGCTGCAATCCCTCCATCTTGGGAAAATATTGAACGCTCCGAAAGGTAAAACATCTTGCACATCTCACACCTCTCTCTCTCTCTCTTCATAGATTTCTAATAATTCTTTATTAAAAAATTGCAGTTACCTTGTGTGCTGTATGTACGAGGAAGCAGCCTCTTTGTCTCACTCTGTTTTGAAGCGCTTGTGTGAGATTAATTCTAACAGTAATAAGCCCTATTATGAAATTGTTGAGGGCGGTGATGAATTGGATGATATGTTGGAGTCAGCTGGAATGGTCTATGTTCAGTCCTTGAACCAACTTGGAAGGTACCTCCAATCCCAACCCCCCCTTTCTGATTATTCAGAGGGTTGTATGGTTCTGGTTTTCTTCTGTCAGTGGAGTTAGCTGAAAATGAGTTGAAGTATTGGCTTTTTTTTTGGCAATTGTGAATTCATGTGCCATTTTGAGCCTTGTAACATAGTTAGCTTATCAGCCAATTTTGACACTACTAGCTGTTTGACTTGGTTAAACAATCAATATGAGTGTTTGATTAATTAAATTTTTGTAACAACTTATTGCTCCAAAATGCTAAAATTAAAAAAACTGGTCAAAGTAGCTTTTTCGATCAACTTTTTGAGAAGTTATTTTGCATGTAATCAACTATCAGCTAACAACTAATTTACCAAACATTTTTCTACAATCAGCTAATGCTATCAACTAATCAAACCCACTAACCCAATCAGCTAACACAACTAACAACTATTTACCTAACACCACCTTTATCTTGTTATTTTTGTGGGGATAAAAGTGCAATGTATTATGTGTGGCTTTAGGTTTTAGTGAATTTGAATATGAGATTTTTGTTTGCAGGACATTGGAAATACTGAAGGAACTTAAGCTATTGTTTGGATCAGTCACTGCCATCCCTGTGCAAGTTTTCCTTACTGGGTAACTTCTTTATAGGACAAATTCATGTTCAAGTTTAACCTAGTGTTTATGAAAGAATCACTAATATCACCCTCCCCATTCTGCTTAGACTGTGTCTTCATTGTTTTGGTTTGTTAGTGTTTGAGTTTTAATTTTATAATCAAAGTATTTGCTTGTGAATAATGGCTTATAGAAATGTGGAATTTCCTTAAAACATGAAGTACATTCTTTATCTATTTGTTGAACAATTTTGGGTCAAACTTAGCCTCTCATGTGAATATATCCAAATTACTTGGCTTTAGTTTTAGTAATGCATTTGAAAATAAGAAATGTAGCTTTCATTTGTATAGTTATTGGATATACGCATTTACTTGTAAAAGCTTTTTTGGGTGTTGTAGACGTAACTTAGAACCTTCTTTGCCAGGGCATGTCTTCAGATACCTGGCGGCATTTCTTCTGATTTTCAAGAAATTCTTGAGGAATTCCTTAGCAAGTGGAAATACATGGACGGAAATTATTACAGTTCTTTTAGTGTTGGAAATGATGTAACTTATGTTGAAGGATTCAGTAAGCAGTTTGTGCTCGGAGTTGACAAATATCTGGAAATTGTTGAGCTCTATGTGATAACTTTTCTTGGAAGGATTATGAGAAATGTAGATCTTGCTGTTTCATGGGTTGAGAAAGCCAGTTTACCTGAGGAGAAGCGGCAGGTTAATGATTTTTTTTTCCTCTCTTATTCTGTTGTTGCCCTTCTTTTGGGAGTTTGGATGTTGGAGTTGGGGGAGTTGGCTGGCATTTTCTGTGATATTGGCATATTGCAGAATAAAGTTTACCAAGTCTCGGCTTGTTGGACTATAATTGCTTTTTCACCTCGCTTTCTAGTATTTTTTCCCTCTTAAACTCAGATCTGTTGATATTCTTATTTTAAATTTGGAACCAAAAAATTTGAGATTTTTAGCCAATTATCATATCTATGTTTATTTTGTGAAGATTTATTGATGTGATGGTCTATCACACAGAAATAGTTCTCTAACATGCTTGACTCTAAATGAGCAAGCATACTATTCCACTTTTCTAAAGGACGGAATATTATTTTATATTCTGTAACATGTATGAGCTTCTGTAGCTGCTTTGCATTTTGTTGCACTTAAGTAACCATTCCATGTTGATTTCCTATCTTATATGGAGTAATGTCATTCTTCTACAATATTGATCAAATGACCATATCCAAATATTTATACTGCAGGATCTTAAATTGCACAAAAGTGCAATCTTTCATTCTAAATCAGGGTTTTAATTCGTTAATTTTTAGTAAATTGTGTGATAAACGGTGCTATGTGTTGCATGGTATCCTTTCCTGTTTCTCTGCCTGTATTCTTTCTTTCATTATGTCCATTTCCCCTATATATCAAAACAACTTTTGAGAGTTTAAACTATCTTGCTTCTTTTTATTTTTATTTATTCATATTCCAGAGTGCCACTATTGAATATTACCCATTGTCATGTCCTGCAGTCTAATACTCAGCTTTTTAGGGTTTTATTTTTATTTTTATTTTTTAAAATATTGCACATTTATGAATCCTTTCAAGTTTTTGGTTGATCAGTCCATTTTATTTCAATAAACAATAACAAAAATTTATGATATCAGAAATGGTCTGGCTTAAGTAATAAGGGAGGATTTGCCTTTCTCGTAAAGTAGTGTTGCAAGCTCCTTCTGTTATCCAGTTTATTATTTTCTTTTTGATTCAAGGCTTATAATTTAATCAATTTAATGGAAACATAGTGTTTTCGTAATAACGTATTGGTTTGGGAATTGATTGACTATATTTATGTACTAATGATAATGACTAAGAGAAAGCATTTCTGATCCGCCACTTAGCCTTGGACTCAAAAGGAGTGGCCAAGTGGGTGGAACATGATTCTCATACCTAAAAGTCATGAGTTCAATTCTTGCCAACACCTTCTTGGTTGAGCCTGTCGCACAGGGTCTCCCTGGTGCGATTTACTCCTCTTGTGTGTTTTGCGGGCTATTACACAAGAGCGGGGTTTACCCAGTGCACACTATCGCTAATGGTTGAGGGTTTTCCTTGTCACCCAAAAAAAAAAAAACTCTTGCATTGTAACTTTCAACTTGAGCTCCTTGAATTTCATATGCTGACAAATTCCTCAAGCATAACGCTTCTTTTATGTTTAAAGAGGTCTTGTGTATACTCAATCTATGGCTTTCATTGACTTGGTTAGTTTGTAACTGCTGAACGAAATGTCTATATGTGTAGTTCTCTCACCACTGAATTTAGGATTTTGTAATTTTATTTTACTGTATAGCATCTTTCACTAGACTTTTTTCAGTTTACTGACAACTTCCCAACCTTCATATGGTTCTTTTTCAGCATTTGCTGAGGCAATTACACTCCATGAACACTTCAAAGCTCAGCAGTTCATTGGAACCTGCCACTGCATCACTATTGCAAATGGATGAATATGGGACTAAATCTGCTTCCATAAAGGAAGAAGAAACATTCAGTGGTTCTGCACACAATTTCAGTTCAGAGAATAATACAAAGCAAGCACTTAAGGAAATGTACAAAAACAGAGTTCCGTTTTGGTGGTTCCGCACCATAACTTTGAAGTTTGGAAACACTAGGTTCGTTGTATCAAATGGAAATATTTTCCTTTGCTGTCTAGCTCTTCTCTTATTTTATATCGTGAGGAGGAAGTCAAATTTACGGAGGTAAGACATGCTACTTTTACTAATCTGACTGCCGATGTGTGTGTTTGTGAAGATTAGTTATTTTGGTCTTAATTTTATTTTATGCATCATTGCCACTTTGAAGTGGAACATATTACATATGTCGATTCATTATATCATTTATCTGTATATGTATTTGGTGCAAATTGAACATAGCCATTGATGAAACTATTCAGACCTTAGTTCTAAGATCTAGGTTGAAGTCTCGAAGAAATCATTTATATATTTGTGGAATTGTGAGATATGAGTCCTGGATATCTGCATAATTTCATATAGATTTGATAGGGCTGGGAGTGTGTTTGCTGTGTCTGTCAATAACTCACTGTCTTCTAGTCAAACACGAATTAGAGAGATGTGATACATGTGCTTTTATGCTATATGGAGTAGTATCTATTGCTGGTATCATGGTATGTGTTTCCACTTATATATGTTTTGCGTACTGTTAATGCGAGCAATTGAACTTCATACATATACATATATGCATGATATAATTAAAGGTGACGGTCCAAAGCTAAGAGGCCTGTTTTCGAAATTGCACATTTAGTTGAAAAAGGCAACATTCCTAGATGTCAATTTGAAACAATTACAGATTTTGATAGTATGATTTTCCGGTTTCTGCTTCCAGAGAGAAGTCTATTTACTTGTTCCTGACTATTTGTATAAATTTCGAGTAATGGTATACTGATTATATAACCATCATTTCTTTTTTCTGCGGTGTTATTACAGCATTATTAGAAAACAAGCTTCATCTGTGAAGAAGGCTTTGTCTGACCTTTGGGAACTTGCATTCTCCTACCAAGTGAACCCTCTAGCTGCAGTTCAATCTCTCCCTACTGCCACGCATCAAACCCGGTGATGGCGCCGTTTTGTCTTCCTCATTGTTATCTTACCATACAATACAATACAATACAAATACTTAAGATATTATTGAACTGTCCATTGAGGGGTTTCAACATAGAGAAAAAACTCTGGTGATGAATAAATTTTTTGGTTTATATTAGGCTGAGTCCTGTGTAGTCATAGATGCAAAAAATGTTGCATAAAATCACTATTTACATTGGGACCTTATGTCCTACACTTGTTCTTTTGATTGCGTGCAAGTTTTTATTGCGTCTAATATTTGATATCGTAGAATATCTCCTGTTGATGCTTCCAACATAGCAATGTTGCAGAAGGCGTTAGTCGGGAGACGCTTAGTGCCTAGAGTGCTTAGTTGGCGCCTCCTAGACATTCGAGTAATTCGAGTATATCGTCACTACTTTTTCTAATCAGGACTGTGAGTTGTTAGACTATTATAATCCCACAAACTAATCAACTATATATGTTAGATGGTTAATTGAGTACATCGTTGGAGGAATATAAAAGAGGAGGAACCGAACAAGTAAAAAATACCACTTCGCAGAGTTTGGCACCAACTCGGTCTAGTTAGGCTCCAAACTCGGCGCCTAATCAACCATCTAACTAAAAGTCGCCTAAGATTGAAATTGCTTCAGCCTAACACCTAGTTGGAGGTCAATTTTTACAACAATTAAACATAGTATAGTCCAAATATCATTTTTCTCATTATAAAGTATGTGGTGTTCAAAATTCTAAAATCATAAAAAAGAATGAATTTAATAGAACACAAATTTTCTACCACAATTTCACACTGTAATTACAATCCTTTGAAACGACGTTGGATTTCTCATTCAAAGCATCCACGGTGACGTCACATTTAACCTTGACAGTGATTTCCCACGTCTTCACTGCCCCGACCTTAATTTTGACCGGCGCTTCTACGTCCAACTTAAACGTTACTTTCCGTTGTCTCTGCTGACGAACCAGTGACGATCTAACGGTGTTACCCAGCAACACGCCGGATCCCTTCAGCGCCGTGTGGAAATCCGTCACGTTATTTGACGGCTGAAAAAACACCGGCAATTCACCGTGACTGAGTTCAATGCCGGAATAAGAAACCCTAACGGAGCTTCCTTTCCGGTAATAAACCCCGATCTTGTCGTTAGGATTCTCCGCTTGGACGATGACGTCAAACTCGGGCGAAACCGCGGAGCGTGACGTCAGGTTCAGCCCCTTGATTGCGACGTCGGTCACGGTGTAATTCGGCGATTCAGGGCGGAAAACAAGGTAGAGAACGCCGGCGGCGACGGCGAGGGCGACAATGAGGACCACGAGGAGACACAGAGTGTAGCAGAAGCACCTGCAGCAGCACCCGCGGCGACTCTTGCGGCGGCTGAAGGACTTCAAGCGGCGGGAGTTCTCCGGCGGAGGGTAGCGGTATATCTGGTCCTTCGGGACCTGGATGACGTAAGTCCCCGGCGGCGGAACCGGCTTTGCAGAAGCTGGCAGTTGCGGTTTTCCCGGCTGCTGCGCATTCCGCTCTGCTACTTGGCCAGAGTTCTCCGATGACGGCGAGTCGTTATTAGCGTGTACCCGATCAGCCATTGTTGACACCAGGTAGGAAGAATAATTCTCCAGATATATGAATGCGGTTGCAAAAGATGAAAGTAATCAAAGAACGTGAGTGCGAGTATCCAACAACTATATCCTCGCTGTATATATATACAGAGAGAGAGAGAAGAGAGAGAATAGTGAGCGTGTAATGAAAACGAAACCGCGTTGGGTGTGGCGTGTGCATTAAAGTGCAAACGGCTGTTTTTTCCTTAACAGCAAGATTTTGTTTTTTGTTTGTTTTTGATTTTGAGAGCTTTGTGATCTTAAACGTTATCAAAGAGATTTAAAATTTTTAAAAACAAATATTAATTTTTGTTATAAAATAAATCATATACTTTAATGAAGCATTATTAGATTGTTTTGGAAAGCTAAAACAACTCCATTACTGAAAATCACGAGTTAAAACAGAACATATAAACAAAGGAGGAGGGACAATATATATATATAACGTTTTGAAAATTGAGATACAAGATTTACAACACTAATAATTTAGAATTAACATTGATAATTGACGTATTATGGAGGAGTATATATTACAGTTTTTTTTTTTTCTTAAAAGAGAAAAAGAAAAATTGATGGATGAAATTGAAAATGAACTCTTTTACTAAATAATAAATACTACGTATATTGTTAATACTAATTTGGTAGCGTTAATTGTGACATACCAGTATACCACCGACAATCAAATCATAGTACTTGGAAAAGACAAAAGAGGAAAAAAAAAAAGTGAAAATAACTAAATAAGAAGTGGGGCTACGGTTCGGCGGTGGTTTGAGGTGAAATAGAGAAAAACGGAACCGCGTGGCTCTTGCTGGCTTAGCTTACTGCCTACTCACCAACAATTCATCATTTTCTATTTTCAACATCTGTGGGTCCCCCCACAACTTTGTTTGGCATGTACCATGTAGGTTTTTTTTTTTTTTTTTTTTGTAACACTATGTTTCTAAGTTACGATATACTAATTTTAAAATTTTGAAACTCTTGTTCAAAAATGTTGAAAGAGGTAAATTATGAGTGGCTCAATCAGTTAATAATTTTAACTCATACATGTACACTTTATGTACAAAGAAAAAATTTACTCCGTATTAATTATTATCATATCTTCAACATTGAAATGATAAGAATATTTTAAAGAATAAAATCTTATTACCATATTTAAAAATAAATAAATGTAAATTATAACCTTTTTTCCCTTAAATTAAACTCAACATGTCACATCTAAGATCAGTAGAAAGTAAAAGAATTGAATAAAATAGGAAAAAGAACATGTAATAAGGGATGAAGTGAATTTCATTTTTGGTCCTACTGTTATAGGGGCATTTTCAATTTCAGTTCACTTTAATTTCTTTTGCCACTTTACAACTATTGTTATTGAATGTGTTCCACTTTTAGTCCCACCGTTAGTATTTTCATCAAGAGGCCGTGTAATTTAGGGGTATTTTGACCTTTCTTCTCATCCAAGAGTCGTTATTGGTTCTTTGTGTTTCAATAGGTTGAGAAAGTATATGAACAGATACTACATTGTAATATAGCCAGTATCATTCAAAAAAAAAAAAAAGATGCATAACTCTAGGTGAATTTAATCAATTTATATTACTCTTAAAATAGCGAAAATACTAGATATGAATCATACAAGAAAATGTGAAGTTACTGCAAGGAATATGAGATTTTTTTTTTTTAAAAAAAAAACTTTACATTTAGTTATTTTATTTTATTTTCAAAAAAAAAAGTTATTTTATTTTATATAGCTTTCATAAGTATCACATGCAAATTATGCTGTGCAACCGTGTGCCCCATGCATGGTGCACACGGTTGCAAAAAAACAACGTCGTTTTGACTAAAAATTCGCGTCTGACTTAAAAGAAAATCAGTTTCGATTTCTGGCAACATCATTATGTTGTGCATAATTTGAAATATATATCCAGAATGAATGAACTAAAAATATAGAATAAATGAACTAAAAATCCAGAATGAATGAACTAAAAATCCAAAATGAATGAACTATATAGTTCAAATTATGCACAACATAATGCTGTTGACGGGAATCGAAACTGATTTTTTTTTAAAAAAGTCGAACGCGCGTTTTTAATCAAAACGATGTCGTTTTTGCAACCGTGTGCACCATGCGTACGGTTGCACAGCATAACGATTGCTCACACATTATTAGATTATGTAAAATTTGCCCGTACGAGCTTAGCTCAATAGTTCAGTATGCAGTATTGGGATAATAGATTAATGTTTGAATTTCAACGGCGGTAGTGTGAGGATTATGCCCAAAGTGAACAGATCCCTTATGTACCGACATTTGACCTTGTCTGCTGAATAATTAAGTCACCGTAATTTACATTCTCCCAAATACTCTGTCGGGTCGGGGTGTGGGACTCCTTAAAGTTGGAGATTCAACCTTTAGGGGATGTTTGGAAAACATTTTCCCTAAAATAGAGGAAAATGTTGTTTTCTGTTATTTGGTTCATGGAATTCCTCAAATTTGAGGAAAACAAAATCCTTGGTTGGACCTAGGATTTTGTTTTTCATGGGAGATGGGAATAAAAAGTGATATGGATTACCAATTTTATCCTTATTTTTTTAATTATATTACTCTTATTAATTTGTAGGGGCATACATGTCTTTATACTCGTTATTCCTTACAATTCCAAATCTAACCAAACAATAGAATTAGTATTCCCAGTAATTTTTTTTCCACCAACCAAACAATGAAATTCACCTTCCTAATAATTATTTTTCTATGGAATTTCAATTCCACTTCCTTTAAAATATTTTCCGCGAACCAAACAAGCCTAAGGAAAAATTACGTAAAATTTCCATAAATATTACGTTACCTCAAAATATTTGTTGAATCAAACACTCCTAATAAGAGTTTTGGCATGAAAATGTCATGTCAACATATATACCAAAAAAGGTGTCAATTGTTTCTGGGCAAACCATGGCTAGATTGGCCATAGTTTCCGGTCAAATCATGGCTGTAATCTGGCAATGGTTTGACTAAATTTAGAACGACGGAATTATTATATTAATGGTAGAGTATTCTTAATAATTTGGGGGCTTCGGGAAGGCTTGCTTCTTGCTAAAAATCACGATTTTAAATGCCAGTTAAAGTCATTCGAATTTGGTGATTTCACCATCTTTAATCCTAAATTTTCAAATCAATCATTTCTGGTCTTTCAAATTTCGAATTCGACCTGCCGTAGTCCTTCTGTTTACATATACCATCCGCGCCGTGAAAAGTAAGGATAAAACAGTCTTTTTATTTCAACCTCAATCAAAACAATTAATTTTTCTCAAAAATTTAAATTAGCCCTAATCTCCTCCCATCGAACTTCTTCTCCAATAATTTTCAATTATGCAAACACCTTTCTTTGGCGAGCTAAAACCACAATTTCAATCCGAAGATTTCACAATTGTGAATTTGTTCCTGGCAAAGAAAGCTCTACAGTTCTACAATTTTTGAGGAAAATGATTTGTTCTGGTTGGAGTTGAAATAAAAAAGACTGTTTTGCCCTTACATGTCACGACGCAGACGACAACCGTTAACAGAAGGACTACAGTAGGTCGAATTCGAAACTCAAAGGATCACAGTGGTCGATTTGAAAGTTTAGGACTAAAGGTGGCGAAACCACCAAACTTAGAGGACCTTTGGCTGTCATT